GCATATTCGCTAACACACCTCCCTGGGCAGTGGTCTCGCCCTGCAACAGCTTATTCAGTTCTCATCGGTTCTCTTCGCTAACGGGTTGTGACGGGGTATGATGCGGGTTTTTTTGTTGTCGCGCGCTGCACTTCCGGTGAGCTCGAGCACCTCAGCCGTCAGATATTCCATAACAGCAGCAAGTTAAACTAGGGCATTGGCTCCTACACGCTCCGCATAGTTGCCTTTTCTCAGCAGACGATGAACTTCACCCACGGGAAACTGGAGGCCAGCACGACTAGAATGAGACAACGCTTTGCCCTTCACCTTTCCATCTTTAACACGTTCGGACATCATTCGGTTAATTACAAGCCCAAACAATCACACCGCGTTCTGAAGAGAACTGAATTATTACCGCTTATGAGTTTCTAAGGTTTAATCATCGAGTTTTGATGACTGTTAGCATGAATTTTCAGAAACATTTATATGGCAAACTGCGCCATTCCATTTAGCGACATTTCAGGTAAAATTTAAAGTAAGAATATATTAGTTAAGCAGTTGCTAGTCTTCCATTGAGGAAGGAAGGGCTAACATACAGATCTTCTGCATATTTCAGTGCAACTTTATTACTAATTAATTACTACCAGTTTCTTGAAAAGCTACGAAAGAAACTTGTTACTTGTAGTTTTTTTTCTTCATGTATTTTAAATTTATGTTGAGATCGTTTATGTTGAGATTATTAAGCCTTAATATTTTACTGCGCAGTATTCTCTCGTTTGCCTTTTGTTTCAGATCATCCCTGACGATGTCATTGACGAATTCATATCGGCTTGTCGAGGTGGAAGCCACCAGCGAGTAGAAGAAGTAATTAGGTCGTTGTACAAGAACGGCTATTCCGCGTATCAAGCGATGATTCAGCTGCATCAGCGCATAATCAGTGATACGAACATGTCTGATCTCCTGAAAGCAAAGGTTTTGGATAAAATTGCGGTGTGTGAAAAGCGACTGTTGGACGGCAGCAATGAACTTTTGCAGCTCATGGACATCGCCTGCGTATATATGCTATCTTCCATACAGTGATTATGTGTCGTACTGGTGTTTCAAAGTTTTTCTATATTTAAGTAAATCCTTGGATAAGTCGTTTAATCGCAAAAGCCTGATTATTATTCATTAATTATTAGTACACACTTTTTGCCTGAAAGTGGAATGGAAGTGATTTACTTATTAAATCATATGCAAAAACCGAAGTTGAGTCTTTCACACTCAGAGATGGCGTTAATGGTTTGTTCTCTATATTTATTTTCAAAGATTGCATGACTTGGTGAATTACGGTGAAAATATACTCTTAATCGGTCACGAACACCAAACGGTCGGTTTTTGAGGCTGTGATAACCGTGGTTGATGGAATCATGTAAGCCGATTTATTTGTACCTTTAATCAAATCTTGTTTGGAAAAAGCACTGAATGCAGTCCCGGAAGCAAGGATTGAATGAAACTTTCATTACTAATAATGGAATAAAATATAAACTTATCAGAGTCTTCCTTCTAAACAGGGCGCGAATACTTATGAACAGGATGAACAGAAAACTGGTGGAACAATTCTCGATGGATGAAATACCAGGAAATGACGAATCCTTTGATAGTTAAAATCTGAGAAGCCTAGCCTAGAAAAGTTGCCGTCCTTGTGTAGTGAGTAGTCTTACTTGAAAATGAATGTAGCAAATGCACTTTACTACGGGAATGTGCTCCACGCATCGAATAAGTAGCACCCGTGGTCGTGGTCGGTTATGGCTGCATGCAAGCAAGCAATACCGATAAATATATGTCCATCTATTGTTACACGCTGAACGGCGTAGAGCAACAATCACAGGACATTCCAACAGTGACACAGAAGCACATGTACGTGATCAACCCAGTAGATCTAGGGACAATGCGAAATCTGATTTGAAAAGAAATCCTAGGCTCCTTAATGAGTTAGCTGTTGACAAGTTGACGATCAGCTCAAAATTCAGAAGCCACTTATCGTGGGACTGGCAAATGTAAATCATTAATGGCCTTTGACTTTTACAGAAAAAGATTCCATAACTGTTGTCAAAATTGATAAGTTTAAGCTTTCGATTTCATGCAATTCACGCTCATACATATGTCAGCATAGGTTTCAAGGCCATTTCGGATTTGCGAAATTGTTTAAAAAATTTCAATCGAAGCTCAGCGTTAGCTCATAGCAACTAAGTAAGCAACTTAATTCTTATCTGCGGCATAATCTACTCGACGCAGCTTATTCGCAAGTAAAAACGTCTCAACTAAGCAGACTACTTGACGCCATTGCGTGTGCATACACATGTTTATAGCGTCTAACTGGCAAAAACTCGACTCGACAGAAATGAATCATGGCAGTCATGCCGTCTGGAGTGCTAGTCTCACTGGTGATCAGTACAATGCAAACAAACACCTATGATGAACACTGACAGATGATGTAAAAGTTATTCGTGGAAAGGCAAATCCAGAAATAAGAATTAAGCTAAAGTAAAGTTGACCAGAATTTCGTAATGTCAATTATCCAACAAACTTTAACTCCGCTTCCGAATCGCAGTTAAGGCGTAAGGACGGATTCAATGGACAGTAAGCCGGAAAATTTTGTCACTATGAAATGCGTGAGACGATACCGAAACGCCTCAAAGGCAGGTCTGTGCCCCAGTACTGCAATAACATCTACAATTAGCTCAAAACTAAACCGCTTAAGGATAATTGAGCGACTATTAGTAGCTAACTCGTGTGTGGTTACCGCGATATACACGACTTCAGAATCTGCTTAATTGGTTTATCCGGTCAGGATTGACTAATGGAGAACGTCCTTTCTTCAGCATTCATGCTAAATAGCATATACCAGCAGACTAGGCATGTCTGAAAATATTCGCTATAAACTGCCAAAAAGACCTAAAAAACATTTGTTTTCGGTAGAGATATGAATAACTCAAAATCTCGAGAATGTACGACGGGAAAAACATCAAAAACCTTCTGATTTACGATTTTATCAGAACGATATTCTAACCTGGCCTTCAAGATCGATTAATGAGCCAATAACTTCGAATATCTGATCGATCAGTAACAACCTTTGACACTTCAGGATTATCGTATCCGTTATTACAGAAGTCGGATTCAGACCTCAAAGGAGGAGGATGATGACAAAATCGGACTGCTAGGGACTATAATTTTGTTATTTCAAGAAGAAACTTGAATAACTCAGCTGTTTTTGCTATAATGTTATATTTTTGCATAATACAACAAAAGGTCAACAAATTTAAAACTACAAAAGTACGATAAAAATGAGATATAGTTTTTCTCTCGGACCATCTGAAGTGAGATCAAGCACAATAAAATTATCATTCCTCCGAGTTTTTGAAGGATCATGTTGAAAAGGTAATTCTGACTGGCAAATATGGCCTCGGATGGATTTGGCAATGTCCATAGTCCTATGACGCTATGAGTCAATTTTCAGACAACTTCTGAGCGATGGACCGGACAACGGCAGTTCAGAGCGATGCTGATGACAATGACATTAAGCTGCTGGCAGATCGTCTAATTGTTACTTGAATTTTGGTTAAAAACATCGAATCTCAATTCACAGTTCCACTGCTCAATGGTGATAAGAAGGTAAAGTTAAGCCGAGCCAGGAATCAAACCTGCACGTTTAAACTACAAATCCAAAACTCTTTGTTTCATCATATTTAACCTATTAGCCTTCGTCTTTTGGTTAAATGGTATTTCGTGTTTTATTAAATGTCGTAATATTTAATATATGTTTATCACGTTAAAAGCAGAAGAATGTATGAAAATAATCTATTTTTGCGCAACACAAGCAAATAAGCCTGTCAATTTGGTGACTGACGAGCAGCCACGTTTCCGCTCTCTCTCAGGAGTGTTCTTCAGGATGGAACAGGTTGCTTTTTGAGGTTGGCTGTGTAGTCTGCAGCTGTTATGGCACCTGGAGCCATTGCTGTATCTTCGGATTCTTCACATTATTTACGAACAATGCATTTAAGTATACACCGCATTTTATTTTACCATAGCACAATTAAGGACCTTGTGCAGTAGAAACTGCAGCGAATAGTAAACTTTTAGATGTAGATTATCAGGAATACAAGGTATAAATAAACTTTCGTTCGTTTGTTGAAGATGGGAAATTTTGATTCTTACTTGCAAGTGCCAGTTCTACCGTATCAAGGTAGCTGTGAATTATAACTCGTAAAGTTAAGTTCAGCCGGTTCTCGGAGGAAGGTCGGTGAAGAATACGTGCATTTATTAAGGCAGGCGTTCAGCATATTTAGGTACGCATTACACTTTGGATATGATTGCATTGATTTTAACGGCAGTCAGATGTTTCCCGTATCAGTTTGCCGAAATGTCTCTAAAAAAGTCTGACATGTATTCACTCATCAAAAACACATGGCTTGGCTAT